ATGGAACCCTGAAACAACCTCTGGGCTGATCAAAGTCAAGGCATGGCTAACTCACAGATGGAACCCTGAAACAACCTCTGGGCTGATCAAAGTCAGGGAATGGCTAACTCACAGATTGAACCCTGAAACAACCTTTGGGCTGATCTAAGTCAGGGAATGGCTAACTCACAGATTGAACCCTGAAACAACCTCTGGGCTGATCTAAGTCAGGGCACGGCTAACTCACAGATGGAACCCTGAAACAACCTCTTAGCTGATTAAAGTCAAGGCATGTCTAAATTAACAGTCTCTGGGGTGATCAAAGTCAAGGCATGGCTAACTCACAGATCGAACCCTGAAACAACTTCATATTGAATGGTGGAGTCAGCTTTAAGAGTGTGATGATGATATATTCCACATACATCATTCCTTCCACTCTTCCCACCTTCTCTCGCCTTTTCTTCTAATTTTAACTTTTGTTCAGTATTTACTTTCAAAAGGCGTCGTCATTCGAGCTGTTGTGATGTTGAGTGACAGCTGTCCATCTGCCATTTTTTCGTATAGCAAATCATCTAAATGGCCTAGCATTCCCTCTTTCTAAAACTTTCCATTGGCATTACCTAAATAATAAAGTTCTTATAGTTAAGTTCGATTTTTTATGAAGACAATTGACGTTTGTACTGACAACTCTTATTGCGAACTCGCTAGCTACAAGCTGCACGACGAAATTTGGTTTTTCGCTGCCGTCAATCAAAAATATGAAAGGTACCGACTGATCGGTTTTGATTGACGGCAGCGAAAAACCAAATTCCAGCGTGCAGCTTACAGTTTAAGTTCGCATGCAGTATAGCAGTTTTCGTATGACTGTGAAAAGCTCAGTGCCGTAAGCGTGACGTGCCGTGACCGTGATACTTTCTAGAATTTTAATTGGCTGATTTTTTTTCACGCGCAATCAGATTGGTCTAAAAGTGCCGTGATCTTGGCATTACCATGTCCGCGCCGTGTTTATGATGTGTTACGGGTATTTGATTGGATGGAGAGTAAATTCTCGTGCAATGTGATTGGTCTGGCGTATCTCTTGCCGTGTCACGACCGTGTTCGTGCCGTTAACTTTTCACAGTCATACGAAAACTGCACTATGAAAATAGCAGTAATAGAGAAGTTTCTTGAGCTTCGAGGGTTTTGCTTCGGGCTCTTTAGCTTTTTCTTTCTTCGCAAAGATAAACTTTTAAGTTCCAATTTGAGTCTAGTGAAAAAAGAAGTTCTCTATGGAAGCACTGTTAATGGACAATGGGCAGAAACAACAAACGACTTTGGGAAACGTACCGAGAATTGCGAAAATGGAACAGGAAAATCAAAGAAACTATCAGAACAAATTACTACCATACCTTTGATAAACCAATCGATAGGAGGATCCCTAAACCCATCACATAAGCTAAAATCAAGAATGACTTTTAGTGTGTACGTCCCTGGTTCCTTAACGAGAAACAGAGCTTCGTATGTGCCATTATTATGATCAAACACAGTGGCAGCAATGGATGACGGTCCACGTAGATACACTCTCCATGAATCCCCACCAATCCGTTTGATTTGACCATCCTTTGTTCTCGATTGAATGAATATCCTACTAAACTCTCTGGCTGGACGAATATCCTGATAATAGATGGTACTCTTTGATGCACTTGTTCGTTGACTTTTGTCCCATTCTGGCTTCACTTTTCCCCAGGCCATATTATCTAAACACGGTCGTATAATTTGTTCCCAGTTGACGCGCGGTTCTCTCTGTCGATACCAATGGCGCCTAAAATCTTGCTCGAGTGGTGGTAAGGGGGATGTTCCAATTGATTTGTAATTTGTAGGGCTCAGCAAATGCGAATAATACATTGAATAATAAAAGATTATACAAAAACCAGAAGATAAACTGAACCAGATAACGACTCTCGGAGAGCAAATGGTGGTGAAATTCATGATGAGCACTCAGTTGAATGCTTAACGAGACAAAACGATATCAGTCTTGATTATCCTGAAAGAGAGATAAGTGTTTGATGAGTGTAACCATATTTCTTCGGGTGTCTGTAAAACCAGGAACATGCCCGGAACGCACCCGGAACATGCCCGGAACACCCGGAACACCCAGAACATGCCCGGAACACCCGGATCACCCGGAACACCCGGAACATGCCCGGAACACCCGGAACACCCGGAACACCCGGAACACCCGGAACATGAAAAACTTTGAGTGAAAATGAAAATTTGACAATGTTGTAACTAAGTTTCTTCAAATGTACGACCGAATTTAAGTTCTTTAGCTACTATTCTATCTACAAATGTTAAAATATTCCTGAAAGCTGAAAAAAAAGCAATGTAAATCCGAGTTCCAAAATTCAAGGTGAGATACAGAGCGTGACCACAAGCGTGACTCGTGAGTGAGTCTCTGCCATTTATGTCGATAAAACTAGTCGGGGGCCAAGTTAGCTGCACTGACAACCCTCGCGAACGACTGAGGATTGTTTTGTTTCCTGACTGCCAAAAAATCCGAGAACTAAATGAGGAAAGGTGGCCTTTGACCATAAGGGCTGCTACTTGTCTCAAAATGGTGCTAAGTGGTGGATATTTCATTTGATAACTTTATTCAAACGCGATTGATTGAGCTAGAACATCGAGCATCCAAACAACCGATCGGCTTGAAACCACATACCCGGCGACTAAGATGACAAACCTTGGACCGATTTTTCTCTTCAAAAATATCTCCTAAAACCATTTTTTTCATTACATACATTCATTTTTAATTATTTCTTGTCAAGCTTAGGTTCTTATCATTGAAACTTTTTGTTTTGGAATAATTATAAAGCGTTCTTATTGTTTCAGGGTCAATATTGAAGTCTAAAGTCTTTTAAAGGGTATGATAAATTGGTAAACTTTGCATTGTAAATTTAATAGTATTTAACCAGATGCCATTCTTATTTACAACATCAAAACCGCTGACAAATTGCTCGCGGTAAAAAAAATCAACAGGGAAGCCAATACGTCGTTGCCTACCACAACCTTTATTGTATTCTGCCGTGGCTTTCTTTGTTCTGCCGTGAGTTAAGTTTATTTTGCCGTGAATTTATTGCCTTTTGCCGTGAGTTTAGTTTGTTTTGCCGCGAGTTTTTGTTTTGCCGTGAGACCTGTGGGCCACCGTAGCGCGGCCATCACTTTAAGCGGCTATAAATTATTCAAAACATGCATTTTCCTAAATGTACGAGTGGATCTAGGAGGTCTGGCATCTTATTATCATTTTTGCACCAAATTCGAAACATTTTGAATAAAAAAGTCTCTGTAAATAAGCACTCAAAAGCAGATGATGTTTGCGATTCCGGGCTTGCCCTCGCTTATAATAAACTGTGTTATGCTTGGGATTGCGCTGGCCTTTTGTGCCGAAGCCGAAGCCATACAAAACGAAAAATACAAAGAAAACAATGCGAGAAATGTCGGGAATAATAGCCAAGGACAGTATTATTCCTCATTTCAGACCTTGATAAAGTAAGTTCAATTAGCTCTACTTTAAAAAGTTACATGAAGTAAGTTTAATCTTCAGTCTTGAAGAGTTTTCAAATTAATTCTTTGTTTTGTGAAATGTATAAATCGGCAGAACAAGAAGCTGACGAAATCAAAGAGGTGGATAGCAAGACTATTATTAGAAAAAATTATGTCTTTAAGATCCTGATAGAGAATGTATGCCAGAAATGCAATGTTCCTGGAATCATACTCAATTCTAGACTAATGCAGATGTTCAAAACTAACAAAGCTAGTTGTCTTCGAAATTCAAATGAGTTTGACCCAAAAGATTTAAATATCGTACTTACTTCGATCGGATAAATTTGCTCTTTATTGATATTTTCTTTTTTGGTTTGAATCTTTTCCCTCGTATACCAAGTAAGCCTTCTTCTAAAGTTTTAAAAAACCCTTTTTAGGGACGCTTACGCTTATCCGCCATTTTGAAAGCTGGCTCCTCCACGCATGCGCTATATTATTCATGCCCAAAACGCGCAAGCCTGCTGCGAATGTCTCGTCTGAGTAGCCAATATTTTCGTATGGAGCCGTATAGCTGACGAATGAGAAGCCCGTTGCTGAGGAAAAGGTGCTGCGTCTTCCAAAAAAGTAACTTGATAAAGCGTTAACGATAAACCTCTCCAACAGGGCATAAATTTTAATTTGTGAAATTTAGTAAGATTCTTTATTCCATAGCCTGAGCTTTCTTATATACCACACTTTACATCATAAGAAATATTCTCGAAATGCACATGCACAAAAACATATACCTAAACACTTCATTTCGTTATTTTCTATTGCCTGTTCATTATCAACGAACAAAAGTGTCAACATTAAACAATCATGGATAGCACTTCAATGTCGTTATGTGTGTACAAAGTTGCTGTTTTGTCATTTGTTGGATCGTTGCATCGTTAGTGTGTTTGTCATCATTGTAAATCTAGTATTCAGTATATAAGTATTCCACGGATATATGGTCCGTGTAACACTCCACAAAGAGCTTTTCAATTTAGTTGGCGTGAATTGGACATATGAAATTTGCCTGATTTTTGAATTTTCATTTTTTATGATCATGTCAAAATTCGAAAATTATCTCATCAATGTCAATTTTCAATTTTCGAATTCAAAAATTAAAATAAATATTTGAAATGACTTTTCGAAATTTTGATTTTTAATTTTTGAATTCGAAAATTGAAAATTGAAAATTGACATTGATGAGATAATATTAGAATTTTGACATGATCATAAAAAATGAAAATTCAAAAATCAGGCAAATTTCATATGTCCAATTAACGCCAACTAAACTGAAAAGCTCTTTGTGGAGTGTTACACGGACCATATATACGACAGTTTTCTAATTTTGCATTGTTTAGGAAAGTTAATTGAAAGACACAAAACAACTTAATTTCCATCATTAATTTCTATCATCCGCCCGGACCAAGTAGCTTATATCAAAGATCGGAACATCGACGAGCCAATCAGATTCATTGAGGATCTGTTGGAATACAGTCAATTCAAAAAACGTTGTCGTCGACCGTCTCAAGCCTACGCGACTGGACCGAAAGGAATATGGGTAAAAATCACTGAAGCGGTTAAAATAAGATAATAATGGCGAGAAACAATCCTTCTCATACTCATTAATAATTCATGAGTAAACCAGCCAATCAATGGGCTATTTTTGGGTCACATGATGTTACTTGAAACCTGGTAAAGTGCTGTGAAAGGAATGCATTCAGTCTGGAGTAACTGGAACAAAATTAATTCAGTCCTAGGACTGAATTAATTTTGTTCAAGTTACTCCAAGCCGAATAATTAATGAGACGAGAAGTCATTTCAAAGCCGACAATATCGGACTGGACGGGATTTCGAGTCCGCGCAATTAGTTACTACGGGTATTACACCAACTACATGTGTTGCACCTACACGGATCACTAAAGGTGACACCGAACGATGCAACACTACCACAACACACAACCCCAAGATAGTGCCAATTCGTGTGGTCATACATGAAGTAACGACCGGTATAACTAGTCAGATAAAAATTATGGAGTCAACTCGGCTTCAATGATTACTACCCAGAGTTCCTTTCGGTCTAGTCGCGTAGGCTTGAGTTGGTCGACGACAACATTTTTTGAATTGACTGTATGCCCAAGTAAATCAAGAGTCAATACTACTGTTTGCTGCGGACTTCGAGAAAGCCTTTGATAGTATCCATCACAATTTTATTTGGCCAGCCCTTAAACACTTTGGTTTTAATCATAGTTAATGAACAGTTTATAAGGTGGATTCGTTTATTATTTTTAACTTTCTGGAAAGGTGGTTAATTCTTTAGGTCTTTCAAAGCTTTTATATGTATGCACCAAGATAAGAGCCAGTGGAGCATTTATTGAGAAAGTGAAAGATGAAACTGTAAACTTCATATGGAATGGAAAAAAACCCAAGATAAAATATAACACCTTGATAGGAGCACACGATGACGGAGGACTGAAACTGTAAGACTTTGGAAGCATGATTAAGGCAAGCATGGTTAAATGGCTTAAAAGGTTAATGGATGGAACTGTAAAATTGGGGCTCTTACTCTTACTAGAAAAATTAAAGTTTTCGAAAAGTTTATCGACTTAGATAAAGTAAAAACTTGGCAAATACATCAAAGTATTATAAGAAAGAAATTTGAACCTCCTATGGCTAAACGTATTTGCGACAGTTTACGCAACTTCTATAGATACAAAACTTAGGTGGTTTCAATATAGGATTTTGACAAACTGTTTATACCTGTAAATAAGGACTTAGCTAAGTTTAACCTCAAAGAAGACGCTTTATGCTCCTTTTGTCATAAGCATGTGGAAACAATAGAACATATTTTTATAACATGTGAAATTTCGTATAAACTTTATAACGACATTTCACTATGGTTGAAAAAGTATAATATTATGCTGCCTACTTTAAGTTTAACTTCAGTAGTAATAGGACACTGCTTATGCTTTGAGTTCTCATTGGTAATTAATTTTATACTGCTCTTGTTGAAATCCTTTGTATATAGAGCAATCTACTTAAAGCAAGTCATCCTGTGTTCAGTGGTTTCAAAGAATACGTTCAATACTATGAATCGATTGAATATAACATTGCTGTTAAAAATCATACAAAGCAAATCCACCTGACAAAGTTTGATAAATTAAGAATGGTAATTTATGCTAACATTTAGTTGACAGTGA